TCTGGTCTACACCACTGACTTGGTATTCTTTTCCATCTATGCCTATAATTCAAAGATTTTCCCCCACATTTCTTGTGTTGTTGTTCTGTGTGGGTGTTTTTAGATATTTCTTATTTGTTCTAGATCATCTAATTTATCTTTGAGTCCTGAGTTCTGCTTCGTTCTACTTATAAGGCTTTGATGTTTCTAGTTGAGTTCCTGGGTCTTTCAGTTTCATCTTCATTTCAGCTTGGCTCTTCTTCAATGTTTTTTATCTGCCGTCGGCATCCTACTCTCAAGTGTTGGGTTGTCTTTGTCATTTCTATCAGCCTTATTTTTGTTTTTCATTGGTTTTATATTTTAAGAATAGCCTCTTTCCTTGAACATCACTCAGACGTTTATTCTCAATTTCATTGAACTGTTTCTCTGTCTTTTACTTGAACTCGATAATTTTTTGATGACGTTTATGATTGTTCTTTTACATTCTGTGTTCTGGAATTCATCTCAGCAATTCTCATTGGCATTCATTTCCACAGGACTGGTAGGTTTTAGAGAGATGATACAGGCATGATCTTTCATATAGCAGGGGTTTTTGGGATGAGATTTGGGAACACCAACTTTTTTTTTTTACTAGTTCTGAGCTTGTTATGGACAGAGCAGCTTAGGAAGAAGAGATGTTGGGGAGTATGATCTAGAGGTTAGAAATGGCTTGAGTAGAATGAGGCTACTTGAGTGGACAGAGGCTACTGGACTGATGTATAGGATTTGCCTCTGTTCTAAGCCTGGTCTGGCTGGGTCCTTTGGTTTGGGGGTTAGTCAGGGAGGATCCTGGCCCAAAAATAGAGCTCCTTTATGGTGTAGGCAGGGAAGGCCAAACTAGGCAGATTCACTGGTTGTGAAACCCAGGCTAGATCTGGCTGGTTGAGGATAAGGTGTGGCTAGTGAGGTCAGGAGAACACATTTGGTTAGACCCTGGAAGAGGATGTGAGAAGTCTGGGTACCAAGTGGGGTGGTTGGAAGTGTGCTAAGGGTCCTGTGGGGCAATTGCAGGTTTGAAAATTTATTGGTAAAGTTACTTCTTTCCAACTTATTTTGAAATGGTTATCTCCTATACCTTTTGTCTAGTTTTTACCTGATAAGGATTTTCTGAGCAAATGTTAAGTCATGCTAACTTCTCCATTACTGAGGAAATGGGAATACGGTTTAGCTCTTCTGCAGCTCAGCTTGGTTGGGAGGTCTCCATTTTCTCTGGAAGTCCTGCTTTAGTTGCTTTATAGGTAGGACGCAGCTTTGCTTTGATGTAGGCAGGGTGAGACAAAGCTGATGTCATGTGCTATGCAACGTCCTACACTTTTAGTCAATTCCTTTCCCTCTCCACTCCTCCATGCAGTCACAGGCATGTTGGGGCACAGCTTCTGCAGTACAACACGGGCCAATTTCCCTAAGCCAAGGGCAAACACTGTGTCAGTGACTGCTTGTGAAGGGCTGTGAAAAGGGGCAAGCTTCAGCTTCACCTGGAATTCTCTTTTGGGTCTGCTGTGCCTCAGATAGCTACCTGCCTCCCTCTTGCACCCTGCCCTTCTCCCGCAGGTGTCAATCAAGTCTCTAAACTGACCAAGCTTGCTGGTCCTTGTCTGAGCCTGTTTTCTGGGGAACTTAACCCTGTGAAAATTGCTCTAGATGTCTTATCGTTGATTTAAAATTTCAATAAATTAAAAAAAATTGAAAGTCCTAGGACATATTTTAGTAAATATTCTTAAACTGTTTCTGTAGGCTGGAAAGATGGCTTAGTCAAGAGAGCACTGTTTTTTTTTTTATTTATTAAAGATTTCTGTCTCTTCCCCACCGCCGCCTCCCCTTTCCCTCCCCCTCCCCCAATCAAGTCCCCCTCCCTCGTCAGCCCAAAAAGCAATCAGGGTTCTCTGCCCTGTGGGAAGTCCAAGGACCACCCACCTCCATCCAGGTCTAGTAAGGTGAGCATCCACGAAACTGCCTAGGCTCCCACGAAACCAATAGGTCCAGTAGAATCAAAAACCCGTTGCCATTGTTCTTGAGGTCTCAGTAGTCCTCCTTGTCCGCTATGTTCAGTGAGACCAGTTTTGACCCAGGCTTTTTCAGACCCAGGCCAGCTGGCCTTGGTGAGTTCCTGACAGAACATCCCCATTGTCTCAGTGTATGGGTGCCCCCCTCGCGGTCCTGAGTTCCTTGCTTGTGCTCTCTCTCCTTCTGCTCCTGAATTGGACCTTGAGATTTCAGACAACTTTAAGATACCATCTTACACCTGTCAGAATGGCGAAAATCAAAAACACCAATGATAGCCTTTGCTGGAGAGGTTGTGAAGAAAGGGGTACACTCATCCATTGCTGGTGGGAATGCAAACTTGTGCAACCACTCTGGAAAGCAGTGTGGAGGTTTCTCAGGAAATTTGGGATCAACCTACCCATGGACCCAGCAATACCACTCTTGGGAATATACCCAAGAGAGGCCTTATCACACAACAAAAGTATATGCTCTACTATGTTTATAGCAGCATTGTTTGTAATAGCCAGAACCTGGAAACAACCTAGATGCCCTTCAATTGAAGAATGGATGAAGAAAGTATGGAATATATACATATTAGAGTACTACTCAGCAGTAAAAAACAAGGACTTCTTGAAGTTTGCAGGCAAATGGATGGAAATAGAAAACACCATCCTGAGTGAGGTAAGCCAGACCCAAAAAGAGGAACATGGGATGTTCTCACTCATATTTGGTTTCTAGCCATAAATAAAGGACATTGAACTTATAATTCGGGTTCTTAGAAAAGCTAAATAAGAAGGAGAACCCAAAGAAAATCATATAGGCATCCTCCTGAATATTAAACTTCATCAGGCGATGAAAGGAGACAGAGACAGAGACAGAGACCCACATTGAAGAGAGCACTGTTTTTGCAGAGGACTCAAGTTCAGTTCCCAGCACCATTGCTTGTGTAAAGTCAAATACCGTCTTCCCTTACACACACAGTCCTCTGTGGAATGAGCAGCACTCTGCTGAACCTGAGTTATGCAGCCCTTCTCTCTGTTCTGAGTGTTATGGCCATCCGTGTTTATCTTGACTCCTAGAACGGCCTCAATAAGAGAGGCGAATGATTTCTAGCTATGACGTCATCTGACACGGAAGTGGAGGCAGTCTTTTAAATCGCCCAACTTTCTCTCTGTAGGGTCTACAAGATTTGTTAAATTTCCAGTCTCTTAAAGGCTGCTATTCCATGTATTCTGTTCAGTTTTAAAGTGATCATGCTGGGAGGATAAATCTGGTGGTTACAGCTCAATCCTGGCCTAGGGACCCGGCTTCCCCACACTTCCTTGGACATCTGTGGTCCTAGCACTGATGCCTTTTCATCCTGAGATCGGGTTTTGTGTCTTTTCGTGTTATTCTACCACTTTTCTGCATCAGTGAGCTCTGGTTGCCTTAACAAGGTAACAAACGTGCTTATTTCAACAGATATGTTCTTACAGTCCAAGACCAAAGTGTCACTGGGGCTGGCCTCTGGGGAAGCCTCGCTGTGGTTGGGATGGCAAGTGTTTCCTCTCATACTGGTGATGAGTATGGGATCAGTATCTGATTTTTTTTAACTATACAGATTCCTGCTCTTATGAGTTCACTTATACGTATACCCTGCTGAGGGCCCTGTCTTAGTCTCACGGTGGATCAGGGCTCACTTGTGAGTCTTGAGGGGACAGATTTCAGGGCACAGCACTGTCACCGATTCTGTTTTAGTACTTCCTCTTTTTTTCCAGTCAAACATTTTTCCCTTAAAAATTTTGTTGTGTGCGCACATGGAGGGGAAGTGAGTTCTCTCCTTCTACGTGGCTCCTTGGGATCTAACTGAGACCATCAGGCTTGGCAGCAGGTACCCCATCCGCTAAGCCATCTCTCTGGTCCTTTCTTAGTCATATTAAAATCTGGATTTCTCTATTTCATGATGGACAAGTATCAGACAGTTTCCTGTTCTTTTGAACCGTGCTTCTGCACTATAAAGACAACCAAAGAACAGTGCATTTTAGTGTGTGCTGTTTTCCAGCCTTCATTCCAGAGTCTTCTCATACTGAGTTGGAAGTTACGCCTCTACTGCCCAACAGTCTTCTGAACCATCAGTCAGTACTGGGTCCTAATGTAAATGGTGATGTGAAAAGACTCCAAATGATTCCATTTATCCCAGCGGCTTCACAGCAAGATCAGCATTTAAAATGTCCTGCAGGTGCACTGAAGAATTACATTCCGTAATTGAGTGCAGAAAGTTTATTAATATATACTTTCAAATTTTGTGCCTGATCTGCAGACATTTCTGCTGTGCCTTTAACTCCTGAAATGGATGTTTCATTACATCGAACACAGATCTCACTCCAGACTGTAACTATTGGTCCTATCGAACCTTAGGGTCTGATCTAAGGTAACTAGTGAAGGAGCAGCCTCTGCTCTCCCTGGGGCTGCACACTTTTACTTGCTACTCAGAGCTCTCAGGGACGGATGTTGCTCTATCTGCACTATAAACAGCAGTCTTTAATGATAAAGTAAATAGGCATGCCAGAGGAGGAAGACATAGTAAGGTGGCTGTTAAAGTCTCCACCTAAAGATCCAGAAGCAACATGGAAAGCACCGGAGAAGGTGGAGTTATGATGAAAACAGACGGAGGGGATTCCTCAGGGAACACTGGAGTGTGTGACGTCAGCGTGCACCAACTCCAACTGATTCCCCTAACCCTAACCTACTGTGGCGTCTTCCATAGGGCTCTCCTTGTTTCCAATGTACGCTTTCATCTGTAACAAAAACAAGCCAAGTTATTTCTGAAATGGTTTATTATATTAATCAGTATACAGTCTATGAAGTATAGAATTTATTAAAAATGAATGATTCTGACAGGTTGCACTGTTAGGGGTGCGATGGAGGAGGACACATCTGGGTCCTTTTACATCTATCCAAACCGACGGCTCCACTACGGTTCTTCTGTGTTATTTTTGTCCAAGCTGTGACAGCTAAAATGAAAGAAAAAATGTATACATATAATTTTCCAGTTTTGAATCACAAAAACTTATTACATAGTTCTAGGACATTAATTTTTTTTTTTGAGACAGGGTTTTTCTGTAGCTTTGGAACTAGTTCTTGAAGACCAGGCTGGCCTTGAACTCACAGAGATCCGACTGGCTCTGCCTCCCAAGTGCTGGGATTAAAGGTATGCAGCACTACCGCCTGGTTTAGAACATTAATTTCAACAAACAACATAATTTAACATATGCTTTTCAAAAGTAACACTGTCATGGCACAAATGTAAACATCACAAGCAAACCCTGGGCATAAGTAACGGATATGAAACTCAGTAGGAAACTATAAAGAGAAACGCGCTAACAGTGTGTCATACACTTCTATATTCCTAAAGGGTCCTTAAAGGCAGACGACAAACCCACTTCAGTTTGTGAAGGCTATAAATAGATTAACTCTTGTCAGACCAACTCTTCAGAGGCAACAGTGTGAAGGGCTTAGTGAGACCACAGAAGTCAACTCCTCAGAGGCAGGGGACAACGACTCCAGACAAGAAGATTCTAGAGATGACTTGAGCTGAGGAGGGAAACATTAGGTGGCTCTTGGTCTAAAAGGAGGCCATAACTGCTGCTACCCAAAGCAGGCAGACCCCTAACAGAAATCCTGCAGTTGATTATCTCGCCTGAAGAACAGAGCAGTGTTTAGGGCAACAAGTGAGGGAGAAATCTGAGAAAGCAGCGTGTGGCAGATGCTGTGCACACTTATCCTGAATCCACTCCTACATGGGAAAGACTTAGATCTGAGCTGCTACTGAAGAAACAGTTTATGGGGGGATCTCATTGAGCCCTGAAATCATAAGCACACAAGTAACATCATACAGACTGAACCATTTGTGTTTAGAAGAGAATGAACATGTATGTATGTATGTATGTATGTTGCAACAATGAAAGAGGTCAGAGGCCATGCATCTAAGAAAGAGCCAAGGGGGTGGGTTGAGATGCATGGAGGGATAAAGGGAGGAAAGATGTAAAGTGAGTATAGCCAAATAACTGCTTAATGAATCCCTAAGTCAGCACTCTCTAGAGAAACGGCATTCATTCATCAACCCACAAATCTATGAATCTCAGAAAGCAAAGTAATAAGAAAATTCAACATGTTTTAACGAGTCACAACTTACAATGTTAATAAAAGCATCAATAATTACCATTGGTGAAGTAGAAGAAAATAGGCTCACAAAAATTATATATATGTATGCAGAGAAAAACTAAAGAAGAAAGAACCCAAACAAAAATTCTGGATTGCTAACTACCTTAAAGAGAACAGAAGAAGAAGAAGAATTTAGGATTTATTAAAATGGGGAGAGAGAAAACAAATGGTTTACTCTGAATACATGCTTTATATATTGGCCCAGAAACTGCTAAGGATTCTGTTTCTTAATGACGAGACACATCATGAAATGCAACATTAGGTGATTTTATCATCAGGAAAACCCCAGAGTATACTCTAAGAGAAACCTACATGGGATAAGCCTGCCACACAGCTACGTTGTTCCAAGACTATAAATAGTACAGTAAAAACACAGTATTAAAGATAAAAAGTGTGGTTGGTGAGATTGCTGTGCAGACATGAGGGCCCGAGCTCAGACTCTCAGCATACTGGAAAAGCTGAGTTGGTGGTGCACACCAATAATCTCAGCACTAGCTGCGTCTAGTGCATCGGTGACTGCTGGGTTAAGTCAGAGAACTCGTTTCAAAAGCACAAGGTAGAGAGTTAATGAGGAAGACACTGATGCTGGCCTCTGGCCTCACAGGGACACAAACACCTACGTAACATTAAATTACAGCTGTATGCCTGCATCCACACAAACAAGATTAAATGTGGTCCATTTTATTGGGCGTTCACCATGAATGGAGCGCAGAAGGACTCCAGGGGCCAGCATGTGAAGGCTCAGGAGCTAGCTGCAGACTTCTGAAACACTCTCTGTTTGAGCTGCACTTGAGCACTGGCTACCATTATCAACTATCATACAAACTCTGCGTGTTACGCTTCCCTGGGAGTAGCGTACAGTAGCTCTGCTTACACCAGCATCATAGGCAACAGGAATTTCCTAGCACCGTTGTAATTCTGGGACCAGAGTCCGTAAACAAGTACCAAAAGCAGAGGGGAGAGGAAAAGTGAGTTCAAGGCTAGCCTGGGCTACATAAGACCCTGTCTCAAAAGACAATAAAACCAATGCAGTAATAGATAGAGCTAAGAGGAGAAAGAATTCAATAATTCTAATTAGCTTTTTTTTTTTTTTTTGAGACAAGATCACAATACACAGCTCAAAGTCATCTAGAAGTTGCCTCCTCTTGCTCTGAGGGGCTGGTGCACAGGAATGAGCCAGCACATCAGGCTCCTGGTTAGCAACCTGAATGCCTCTCATCACACGACAGAGGACACCCCCACTGAAGGGGAAGCAAACACAGAATCTGAGCAGCGCTACCCTGACCAGACCATAGGCTGGACCACAAAAGGAACTACACCTTATTTAAAACGGGATGTTCTATGACGATAAGGGAACTGATAAACAACAGAACCACAAACTTTGGGCTACAGAATAAATCACAACATAAATTACAAAATATTTCAAACTAATAAAAGCACAGAGCAGACAAATGTGTTGAATGAAGCTGACAAAGGCCAGGCACTTAAACCTTACAGTTTAAATACTGAGTTTAAATTAGAACTGAACTTATATTTACAGTTCAGGAAGGCTAGGAATAGAACACAATAAAGCAATTAAAGCAACATTCTAAAGACCAATGAAACGAGAGAAGTAGCATGACAACCGCTGAGTCACTGAAAAGAAAACCAAACTGAGTTTCCTTGGTTACCTAAACTGCAATTTCTCTTCAACTTTCTGCATGTTTGAAAAATTTCCACTAAGGTAAAAATGTGAAAAAGGCAAGTGCAAGGATACTGCTGGATATGATCGAAGTGCATACACACATGCAAGGAATTCTCAGAATCAAGTATTTTGTTATTTCCCGAGACTCACTCTGCTAGGCCACACCCACATTCCCAGGGTGCACCACTCCGCTCTGAACACCTCTCTTTGTCTAACCCCATGCTTCTCTGCTGTAAAACATCTGCCACGGAATCCAAGTCTTGCTTCACAAACTCGTTAGTCCTCAAGTTTCAAAGCTGTGGATCCTAGTTTCGCCTGGATTTGTCCCTAGAATCATAGGGAACTCCAAGAGGCTGAGAGTGACGGTGAGAAGCTGTATCTCCTTTACCTGTACCCCCAGATGCTGACATTTAGACATTTTTGATCAGGCCATGTGCATACCAATTTTAAAAAAAGCTAAGATCAATATAATTGCTGAGAACATTAGTGGGGACAATCTTGAAGAACGATAGGAAAATGGACACAGCTACAGCTGCCGTTACTTTCCAAGTGGACACAATTGTATCAGCTGAGCACATCCTGCTGAAGAGTTCTGAGACCCAACTAGGGTATGCCCGGCAGCAGACATATGGACAGAATGTTAGAAATGCTGAATTCAACCTGGCCAATAATTACCTTTTCAAAAGAGTTGGGATTATTAACCCTTTAAAAATGTTACTTACCGGAGCCGTCTTTATATCCATGGTGAAACTTACAGCTAGAGGAGGTTTTGTTTAAGCTGATTTAAATTCAGTTGAAGTGATAGTTTTCAAAGGAGAGAGAGCCAACAGCAACTTGTGCTGGCTCTGAGAGCAAACTACAGAGGCACACTTTACCTGCTTTATGAACTGGGTCGCATTGAAAAGCTCACTGCAGCCATATAAAATGTGCTTGCCTTGCTTTGCCTGTAAAAAGCAGACACAGAATTCAGATGTAACTGTGAAAAAGAGTTAGTGTAAGCATTCTCAGGGAAAAAAAAAGCCTGGGCATTCTGGGGAGGGGGCTACTCTTAAAAGTTGTTTGTCAGGTGGTGGTGGTGGTGGTATATTTAAAGTGTGTGTCCCCGTACCCTAAACTGCCTAAACAGAAATGAGGTGGTGAAGTGGACACAAGGATGCTTTTTTCTTCCTTCACAGTAGTAAATTATGGCATGCTGGTATTGTTATCTTTCAGAGGACCAACAACTCTCTATATAATCATAGATAAATACTGTTTCAAGGTATGATCTGTGCTACCTGAAGAAATTATTAAGAGAATTTAATGTTGGAAGTAAGATGACGTGGGCTTGTATCTTCAGCCCTGTTGTGTAATACCGCATTTGTTAATGCATCCATTCTACCCGAATTTTATTTCTGAAGCAGATAGAATATTAGGATGCAAATACAAAATTCAGGCAACTGTTTCATTTATCTACCTTTTCTTCTTTTGAGACAGGATCTTGTTATTTAGCTCAAGCTGGCCTTGACCTCTCTACTCCCCTGCCTTAGCCTGCTGAGAGCCGGGTGATAGGCCTCACGACCACTTCTGATGAGGGTCAGTTCTTTATGCCCATACTCTTTAAGTACATTATCATCAAGCTGAATTAAGATTCCTCTTTACAGTATGCAAAATTTATATCAAATTAATTTGGTAGTCCATCAAGAAACAAGATGGGAAAAAATGTAGAGCTCAATAAAGTCAAGGAAACAAGATGGTGATTTTTTAACACAAGAGAAAGTAATTTTTCTGTGACTCATAAACTGAGTAGATGTTGGCTCAAAAGAAGACTCAAAAGCAGAATATGGAGGGCAGGGCTGTAACCAGAGCACTTGAGAGGCTGGGCCAGGAAGACTGCCTCAAGTCCTAGTTCAGCTTGAGGGACAGGGTGAGACCCCATTAAAAAAAAATTAACAAAAACTAACCAACCAATCAACAAACCAAAAGTCCAGTACTTGGGCCTAGAGAAACAGACCAGTGGTTAAGAGCATTTACTGCTCTTGCAGAGGACCTGGGTTTGGTTCCCAGTACCATTTGGCAGCCCACAACTGTCTGTAACTTCAGTCCCAGGGGCTTTGTTGCTTTGTTCTGGCCTCTGCAGGCACTGTACACCCACACATGCAGGCAGAACACCCATACACATAAAAATAAATAAAAATTAAAAACAAACTCAGTCCTAGTTGGCCCATCTCCGGGAACAAATAAAACAAGAGCAGTGGCTTAGTTACATTTAAAAGGGAGGAGGGATGGTACGCAAAGTGCGAAAGGTCACATGACTGGGACTCTTGATGTCATTCAAAATATTCCTGCAAGGGCAGACAATATGCCAAAGTACCATCCCAGGAGTACAGGACACACTTCATTCACCAAGAAATATTCTACACACGCTTGAGTAAGAAGAACCCTGGTCTTACTCATGTAGAAGCCATTTACTTCTTTCTGACCATGTAAACAAAATCAGGCTCCATGAGTATTGACCAGTCACAAACCACTAACATTTCCAGTTCCTAGCACACAACGCTGGTGCATCAGTGTAGGCTGCCCTCATCTACTTTGGATCCTAGCACAGAACTAGGTCCCCTCTGTCCAGGTCTGGACACAGGGCTGCAGCAGACCAGCTGAGAGGCCTGCTCTGTCCCTCTTCCCAGCTCGGCGCACCATGTTTGTAGCTCCTTTCTAACAGCTATGTAACAGAAAGACAGTAAGTAGCAAAACACTAATCACTTGTATTAGCTAATAAATCAGGTGTAATTTTAAAGAAATTTAGCTTACCAAACGTTCCAGTACAAAACCTATTCTTAAGCCTGCACATATGTGTGCATGTAAAATAAAGCCTTTTTGTGCGCAAGACTGGGGGCCCCAATACTGATTCTTAAAAATACATTCATGTGCATAATTGAAGACAAGCAATCAAGCGAGAATTCCTGGGAGGTATGTGGTCCCATTATACCATAGTTTCTATTAATGCCTTAGGTAAAGAATGACCGATCATACTTTAACGAAAACTGAATAATTATAAAATGTCATTTTATTATATAACAATAGCTAATTCTCCAGCTTATAGATTTTTTTTGGTATTCAAATTAGGCTTCCTGCTTCATGTATTTTTAGTTTTCTGTCACTTGTGACTTGAAGGTAGGATTTCATTATTTCTAATTTGCTACCTGAAATGCTTTTTAGAAATATGTTGCTGATTGATGTTAATACGATTGAAGTGTAAAGCATGTGTTAGTCAGGTAAATGAATTCTATAAATTATCTCAAGGGAGACAACACTCAGAATAGGAGCTTGAGGTCTCTAAATAGTTAAAAGTATATATCAAGGGAGCACCCAAATACTTAATATCCATATGATATATTATTTTCTAGTCCAGTATAATTTTAGTAGAAAAATAAATGTAACAGGAAAACAAATCAGCAATTTTCTCTATACATGGCACTTTATGAGATGAGATCGTGCCATGTGGCCTTGACTAGCCCCGACCTCTTGGGCTCAAGTGATCCTCTTGTCTTGGCCTCCCAAGTAGCTGGGACTCCAGGCTTGTGCCATTGTGTCTTGCTCACACACAGAACTTTAAAAGATACCTCTTAGAAAGTAGTTATGCAAAGGTGAGGATAGGTGCTGGACAATGAGATGACCCAACTGTACCTTTATGTAGTCAACAAGATTCTGATATTCAATATAGTTGCCTCCTCCTACCACAAAGACAATGGCCTAAAAATGCAAGTGGAAGGAACAGGTGAAGAAACAGTTAAAGCATTTTAATTTTCAAGCAGCAGGCCTTTAGTCTGGGAACTGTCCTAAAACTGAGATAAGGCTGCATAAGTGCAGGGCTGTTTCCAAGTCTAACTGCATCATCCAGTCAAGCAACAGAAACTGAGGATAGATTGCTTTTGCTGAAGGCTAGCTCTGAATCTTTACTATTTGCTGTAGGCAGGACTGGAAAGCCCATGGTACAACTTCAGCATGGCACTCAAAACAAGAAGTGTCTGTATTCACATCTTCACAATGCTGAAATTCCGCATGTAAAATTCTCACTGCAATACAAAAGATTCCTTTCCTGCTATCCTGTCATTCTTAGAAAAGTAGAGGAACAGAGTTGCTGAGGACTTGACGGCAGGATCCTGGATGTGCAGAATTAGACTGACCTGAATGGCCAAGCACTGATCACAAACTCGTTCTGCCTCAGGACTACTGTTAATTATCTAAGAGCAGAGAAGGTTGTGCAAAACTTACCTCTTGGAATGGATTTTTGTTCCTAGGAACTGAGCTGCAATAAAGAGAAACTGCACTGAAAATTTCATCGTTGGCTTCTATTACAGGAAAGACGGGTATAGGAAAACATGTTCATGTGCACGTGTGAGCAGCATTAAGAAGGTATCCAGGTCCACCTTCTTGGTAAGCAGGGGTTCTTCAGCTTTGTAGAGGAAGGAGCTAGAAGGTAGATATCTCAATGTCTAAAAGGGAATGGGATGACCTCCTAGCAACTTTGACATAAATTCTAGAAGGCTGACCAACAGCATCTATGCCAAGGAAAGGAAGCTGGGACCAGGCGAAGCAATAAAGCAGGTCATGAGTTAAATTTTCACCACACTGAAACAATTACACAGCCTGTGGCATCTTCCTCAGGATGGAAGGGAAGATGAGAGGAGACATACTGCTCTAGCCTCTTATTTATCACAGGTCATATATTGTGAAAACACTTCACTGGCATCCACGAACTCTTTACTAAACACATCTTTCCAGGCCTTCACATGTCAGAGTATTAAACAAACAAGCATGGACAGCGTGATAAGGAGAGTTTAACTGTTTAGCTAAGCACACCTCTGCCATCTTTCCTCACGTCTACAGCCTGCAACAGTCCATACACCACAGAAATGGCTAGATGGCCACCTGATCAAATTCTCAATAGCTCCGCTGAGGTAGACAGGAGGTAGACTTAAATAGCTCAGGACCACGAGTTACTAATAACCATGGTTTCGGATAGGCTAGCTTAGGAAAAGGCCGCAAAAAGAAAGCTCTCTGAGCCTGTGTGCTTTAGCAATGCTAATATTCCTTCTGACTATCGTATATATGATACACTTAAAATTGAACAGTCCTCAGCTTCTATGGCTCCTGCTTAGCCAACTGCCAGGAAGAGTTACTAGTCCAGACAGTTACACATCCGCTTGTGAAGCAAAGATCGTAGGTTTTAGTGTATCCAGTCTCTCATCACTCCTAAAGGGAAACCCTGTCCCACTGGTGCTCAGTCCCCATCCCTTGTTCTCTAATTTGCGGTCAAATTTCTCTCTTGCCAGTGATAGCTATTATTGGAAGTTCTTACGTAACAGCACTTCTGCTAAGTTCAGAAAAGAGAACACTTGAAATTACCTAATAATCTAGCAGCTAGATCATCGGTCCTGACAACCCACAAAGACATGAATGCTTGGGAAAAGGACAAATACAAAGTGCTGAAGGTCTCAACGGCAGGCACAGGTAAGGAATTTGCTCCCAAAGTTTTACTGCTAGGGATATCCAGTTATTTCCTTCTCTGTCAGCTGTCTTTTAGGTTATTTTTCCTATTACTATGAATTAGCCCTTGAAAAGTAACATAAGTACAGCCAGTTACCACATCATGTCTTCCATAAAATGCAGACACTATACCCTGAGTTGTTTCATTGCCATAAAGTGCTTTTACAGAAGCTGCATTGATTTCACACAACAAACCACCACCTTAAACACCTGTTTCCAACAGTTTTTTCATTTAGTCCAGTAATCATATTCGTTTAAAAATACTTTCTCTAAATTCCCCATTTTGTTTATGATAACACCATTTCACAAATAGTAAATAGCTAACTTTATTTCTCTGTATATACACTAAGGGAAAACAGCAAGACACTACTCATAATGGTCTGTGATTAGCTCTGAAGGAGATTAAAATACCACAGTCAGAATGTTAGTAGAAAGCAGACTGTCTTTACAACGTTATTCCATTCTCAGAGGGAACAGACAACAAATACCACCCGAGAGAAAAGATTCTTACCTGTCATTGCTCCGCAGCATTTTGGGATCAAAATATCTATAATCATCAGTTTCCTATTAAAAACAAAAATAAAATACATTATGAGGTTTCTGTTTAGAGGATCATGGTACAGCACAGAATTTGATCGTAACACACCCTCCAATTTCACAGATTGTAATGACTGTCTACATGTGTTAAGAAGCTGTATTTTTAGTGCTTTACATGAAACCACGTGCTAATCCTCAGCCTATGGCAGTTCCTATTTTTAGCCCAGTTTTAGATGGGCAAGTTGGGATGGATAGGAGACCATGCGACTTTTCTGTGGTCACATATTTAGTAATAAAGGTAGGAACTCTAGGATGTGAACCCCCTGCACATGCAGTTTTAATGCCCAGGGTCTTTGTTTAGGACTTCGTCATTCTGTATCCAGAGCTTTACTGAGTATACAGATGCATATAAGAGGCTCAGTCCTTTATGTGCAAATGTTGGAACCAGATCAACTTTAGAATTTAGAATTAAAAATTTAGATAATACTGGATATCAAGTGTATATGTGGCCGACATTTGCCCACCTAATGCATTAGGATTTCTACAGATAAATACATGAACTAAACGTTTCATGCTAACATTCATGTCCTCAGGTTAGTCCAGGTGGGGTCTGCCCGGACCGACTCACCACACTCTTCTATCTGTTCAAGTTTTCCCGACTCTAGAAGTTGTTGAATTTTATGCTAAATTGGAAGCTTCTTGATAGTAAAGGAATTGTGAAGTGTACAGTCCGTTACTTCATGATTTAAGTTACTTCATGATCTGTCTTTAAACTAACAATTCAGCCCCGCCCCGATATCTGGTGAAGGACAAATACACACACACTGCCACTACTTAGTCCTGACCCTAGATCAACACAGCACCCCAAGTGTGGTCGGACTCCTCACATGTCACTGGGGGAACCCCTCCAGCTGGACTTCCTGACCTGTGGTCAGTACTCAGATCAACACAGGAGAACACTTACCAAGTGTAAGTGACCAGCAAGTCACACTTGCTGCTAAGCTTGATGACCTGCACTTGATCCCCAGGACCCACGTGATGGAAGGAGAGAGCTGCCACAAGCTGTCCTCTAACTACATGTGTAATGTATGTGTGTGCACACACACATGTAATCAGAATGGGAGGTGTCTTATACAGCCTAGCCTGGCCTCCAACTGTGTAGCTCAAACTCCAAATTCCCCTGCTCCTACCTTCCTAGCACTGAGTACAGGCACCTGTCGCTGCTAGGTTCACATGGTCCTGGAGATTGGCCCAGAGCCTGCACATGCTAGGCAAGCCGTCTACCAGCTGAGCGACATGCCAGTCCATGCTCCAGGATTTGAAAGCAGCTGAGGTCATTCACTATCACCTGCCAGCTCTACCTTACTGTACGAACAAGAGAGGAACAGGAGTGCAGACAGCTACCTTAAATAGCAGATGGATGATGAAAAAGTATCTCTTCTAATTAAAAGATCTGCCTGTGATTATAAACTCAACAGTACTGATAAGTGCACTTGTACAACTCAGAGAAACATCTGTGTAAGACTCATCAAATTTAGCCATCCATGTGTTTATTGTAAAGCATGTGGAAGGAACGGCTGTGACTAGGACCAGGATGAGGATCAGGGCTGGATCAAGTCTACTGCATGAAGCGGCCACCTGTCTCCTGCTCCCTTTCTTCTGTTGTTAGATGACCTGTAATGACCTCTCTAGTTCTGTGAGTCTGTGAAGGACACACGGTTCCTACTAACAGTATAATGGTAGAATTCTGGCCTCAGAAAACCCCCAAACTGCTATTTATCAGTGGTATAACCCCTAGCAAGTTAACTGACCTCATCTTTCATTTTCCTTGTCTATAACACAAGTATAATAAAAACAGCACTTTTCTTAGTGGTTTAACCGAGGATTAAATGACTTCTAAGGTACGAATTCACTGAGTGGTTCCTGGCACAGCCCCACACATACATGTACCTGCTATCACAGTTAGTGGTCTGCACAGAACATCAGGATGGGGACAATAACAAGAGGCCTTCATCCTATGCACTTGTCTCCTGCAGTTTTGCATTCATTTGTATTCTGACTTTTATTATGCTTGGGCCACCTTTCAGGTGGACACTGAGCGTAATGAGATGTTTTCTAAGACAAATGGTCATAAACTCACGCCTCTTTTGAGGGCCTCTTAGTCTAGGAGTCAAAGTCAGTTGCAATTGCACTGTATATCACTACCATCTATACAGATTTGGTTTCTTTTTTCTTTTCGGTTTTTTGAGACATGGTTTCTCTGTAGCTTTGGAGATTGTCGGGAACCCACTCTACACTAGGCTGGCCTCAAACTCACAGAGATCTGCCTGCCTCTGACTCCTGAGTGCTGGGATTAAGGCTGTGTACCACCACTGTCCAGCCATTTACAGTTTCTCAAACACAAGAATCTTTTTAAGTTTATTGCGTATAATTTTCCCATAATTTTCATAGCAGCAGCTGCACATTTTATGGTGTTTCAGTTTCCACATGAGTGAATTTAAAAATTGTTTTTGCTAGTTTCCATAACCATATTTTAACAATTACTAAAAGAGTCACACTGGTCTCAATATTCTGTTCTCATTTCTTCAGGTCTGAAGTCCTCCCCTCACCGCCAAGTCTACAGCAGCCTAAACTAAAGTAAGCTCTGACGATGCTGCTCTGCGCTGACCCCTGGAAAACCACCTCGGTGCTAGCGTTCTGAGTCACCTCGGTGCGTGCCCAGCTCATAGATAGTTAGCATTTGCCTGACAAATAGTTTTCCAAACTATCTGTTGTTTATTCTGCCAACAATTGTTTTTGATTTACTTGTTGGGCCCAGAGGAATTTAGAGCCATCTGAAATACTCAGAAGTTTTCCTATACATTTCTCACCTAATAGAATTTCCTTAAACTGCACTGCTTCTCCTTACATCATGTAAACAGAGACTGCTTGTTCATTTTCTAACCACTCAGATCCGAATAATCACACAGAAACTATACTAATTACAACACTGTTTGGCCCATAACTCAGGTATATTTCTAGCTAGCTCTTACATCTTAAATTAACCCATTCCTATTAATCCATGTATCACCACGAGGCTGTGACCTACTTCCTGGTAAGGCTCTGGCATCTGCCTGACCTCACCTTCTTTCTCCCTGCATTCAGTTTAGTTTTCCTGCCTACCTCTACTCTGCCCTGACATAGGCAAAAGCAGCTTCTTTATTAGCCAATGGTACAGAGGGGCATCCCACATCAACATTATAACACCTGATGGGTCACTGGTTCTTTTTCACTCATAGAAATGTGTTCTTTAGGATGTATTAACATTAAAACATGTACAATGTAGTATATATTTAATTCAGAGGAGACCTAGTCAGAATGGTTGTAGTAGCCAAGAAAACCCAATTCTGTGTATCTGTGACAATGGCTGAAAGATGCCATTGGGAATATGGACTCTTTCTCGCACATGCTCAGTAGTAATTAGGAGCACAACCGAGTCAATCTGGATTTATCACCTTTCAGTCAGTTTGATACATCCAAGAATTTACATAATTAATTGTTACTTACAGGGTTTGACTTCATTTCCATGAGATTGTCTAAAATTCGCGTAACGGGTAGATTCTGTGGAAAACATGAGTATTTTGTTAGATGCTGGAATACAACTTGATGACTCTAGTTTTTTGGAATAACTTGTTTTATGTATACTGGTGTTTTGCCAACATGGCTATTTGTCTGAGGGTGTTAGATCTCATGAAACAGGAGTCACAGACAGCTGTGAGATTCAATGTGGGTGCTGGGAATTGAACCCCGGGCCCTCCAGAAAAGCAGTCAGTGCTCTTAACCGCTGAGCCATCTCTCCAATCCCAATCACTCCATAGTTAAACATGCTTACCTTTCCATTAAACACACCCTAAGTTTATGTACATAATTAAGATGTCACAGGTGTAAAAAACCTAAGTATCCAAAGTTCTCACTGAAAAATACAATTCTGTATAAGAGCCCTTTAGCCTCCTGACTGCCAGGCCTGCTGTGGCCTGCTGTGGCCTGCTCATGCCAATACTCAAACACATACATAAATAAGATACATGGGCTCCAGGGCAGGAAGACGTAAGCATTTTCTAAAGCTGAAGGCTGCCCGTCCCCTTCTCCCTCTACACCTTGCTCTCACTCACCTTTCTGAATACGAATGCACAGCTAGAGTTGTGTAGTGCGGAGAAATATGGAAAATGCATGTAACAAGTCAGGAGTTTCCTTTTAAAATACTAGAAATCTGGGCATTTAAGCTGAATTTTATGATGAATGTTCTTGTACCATAAGAGATTTTCAGGGAGGGTACAACTAAATCTCACTCTTTATTTGACAGCCATGCTACAAATGATGACACATTTGCCAACAAGTACATTATAAATTAAGAAAAATGTCTTCCTAGCAAAAGTGTTTAAGAGCTCACAAATAATTCTTATGTTTTCCCATGGTCTCTCTCTCTGGTGAAAAGAATCAAACTACTGCTTCACCACTCTGTCAGTATTTACAGACGGCCATGGATTAAGGGAAGCCTTCAGCTGTAGAGAACAGGAAGGAAACACATCTTGACAGACAGAAGGCACTGTACTTATGAAAACAATGGCGATGTCACCAACTGACACTCCTGAGCTGTTCTCTCTGTAAATGAGAGCTCGAGTTAATAATTTACAAAGCAGGCAGGTGTATTGGCTCATGCCTGCAATTCCAGCACACTGTAGGCTAAGAAAGGAGGACTCCCCTGATAGTGGCCAGCCTGGGGTACTGGGGCGGTCCCTGTCTAAGTAACCAAAGGGGAAATTTATTACACACTGAGTCTCTTCACACAGAACTCTGCTCTGGTTTCCTTTCTGTTGCAGGGATAAACACTTTGGCCAAAAGCAACTCAGAAAAGTGGGTTTATGAGGCCTACACTTCCAAGTCATAATTCAAGAGGGGAGCAGAACCCACGGAGAAGGCTGTGCTTGCTGGCACGTTCACCTCTGGCTATCATACAGCCCAAGACCACCTGCCCAAGACGGATGGTTCTGTAACCCACCATGAGCCTGGCCCTCCCACAGAGGCCACAGACCAGTCTCACCTGGACAGTTCTCAACTGAGACTCCCTAAGACTCCAGGCTGTGCTAAACGTCAGCTGAAGCTGAGCTGGGACAAACTTTTACTGAAGGAAAAACTGGACTGGCTGGGTGGTGCACACCTTTAATTCCAGCACTTAGAAGACAAAGGCAGGAAGAACTCTGAGTTCTGGGCAAAACTGGATAGCTGGATTGTAGCCACTTGGACCACAGCAAGTAGAACACACCAGTCTTCTGTGCACAGAGCAGCTGTCATAGTTTGTAAACTTCACTGAACAAAGCACAGATGAAATTAATTAAATGAAAAATGTTCTAAGCATATTTCTCTTTATTCTCAGACATTGCTGTTTAGAAATAAAATGAAAATCACTATTTTTTCTTTTGTTTTTGAGGCAGGGTTTCATTATGTAGCCCTGGCTGGCCTGGGAAATACAGAGATCCACTTGCTTCTGCCTACCAGTGCTAGGATTAAAGGCCTAGGCTAGTATGTCTGGCAGAAAACACTACTGTGTTAGTTGGCAACTGATTTTTTTAATTGCCAGAAGGTTAAGACATAGACTTGAAAGGCAGAGTTCCATTCATAACAAATTATAACTTTTGGGTTATTTCTAAAATCTGATTCTAAATGAAGTAGAAATAATTCGTGAAGCAGAAATTTATCAAAAAATATACAGTGGGAAATCTATTCCCTAAGACTGGTTTTATGATTTTAGTTACTGGAAAGATTTAGATAAAAAAACCATGTTAACCTAATGATGTAATTACTTTACTCATAAAAATCAAACCCCAGATATTAATATTGCACAGCCACAGGAGGGAAGGTTTTCCAAGTCTCCTAGAATTAGTTCTCTGACATGGTTGACTGCTCCATGGTAGCCATTTCTAACTTTGTATTTTTGGGTGTGGGAAGATGCTCTGGTGACCATGATGGGAGCAGGATTGGAGACAGGGTCGCTGCTGTTCCAATCAGGGTGCTGGAAGGTGACAATTCCTATGTGGAGTTCAAAGAGTAAAGACAGAACATATGCAGATGCTGCAAATTCATAGAGGCTAGGGGATAAATATCAATGTTCTAGAAGCAAATTTACAGACTAATTCTAATGCTCATATCATGAATGAGGAAGCCATAAAATGTTGATGTGACTTTCCTTCTCGATCACTGTGTGTTCATAGCAACAAAAAGTAACACACTAGGATTGTGTGGGTCCACATCTATCCCCATCCACACACCCAATTTCACCAGACAGTGTTGAGACAAGCCCTTATCATAAAGCCACTGCTAGACAGACTACCCATACTTCACTCTGTCCCAAATGCCACTGGATTTAAAAGAAAGCCTATAAACTCCTGCTCACACTGTACTGAAGCACGCTCGACATTTAAACTGTACAATGTAGTGTTATGATATCCACTTATACTGTGAAATGGTTATTATACAATATTCAGAGTTCAAATTTTGAGTTTTCTTACTTAAATAATAATCCTGAACAGAGATCACATGCTGCAACCAGCTTTGTCTTTCCTGATTTAGCTGGTGCATTTCCATTGCTTGTAAATTCATTTCCTACAAATTCATTTTTTAAAGGTGTGTCAGTGGTGATTTCTAAATTCTGCAACTTTGTGTTTATATTATCACAACATTCTTGTGTAATTATTCTCACAAAAATATATTCAAGTCTGTAAATTTTATTCCACTGTCTATTGTATTGTGAGGGTTGATATTTAGAATGCACAAACTCATGCTGCCCAGAAAACAAAACACAAAAAGCTGTTATTAGTGACTTAGAATTATCAATGTTCCGTTTTGTTTACTATTACTTTTTTTTTTAACTTATTGGTCAATTTAATTCTTGTCTAATTTATTTATAGCTTACAATGTTTATTCTGATAAAAACAACTCAAAACAATCTTTTTAGTGCTGATAAAAAGGCTCAAGCAGGTAAAGGTGCTTAGTGACTCTCTTTCTACCTTTACCTGGGTTCCAAGAATGGAACTAGAGAGCCTCCATAATGAAAATTAAAAAATTAAAAAGCCAGAACAAATCCTTATAGATGTAAACAGAACAGTTACAATATTCTAAGCCTCTATCTCTGCAGTCTCTTCTGATGCCTCTTACTTCTGAATCCTAGACCCCCACAGCGCAAGTGCCCCTAGACACTTGGGCATCAGGACAGTGCAGGGTCACAATGGGCTTCCATGAGTTTAACATACATTTCTAGATAGACACTTTGCTGGAGAATATTTTGGCAATATTTATTAGGAGTAACTAAAATGTCCATACCCTTTGATTTGTAAGTAAATTCTTAATTCTAGGAATTTACAGTGTGGGTGGGAGTAATCAGAGATGAATACTAATCCAGCAAAAACTGACACCTAAAGCCATCTATTCCAGGGCAGGAACGCCTTCCAAGAAGTGCTCACCTGCTGCTTCAGCACCAGGTTCTTCACGCCTTCCATCACAAACTGTGACCCTGTGTTCATGACTCGTGATAAGAGTCTGGTAGGGCGAAAGACAAAAGACACACTGAGTTTCGGCCACTGTACAGTTTGCTCCTTCAACAGTGGTGGTCGATTACAGACCACGGGCTGCTCACTGTGCTGTACCTTACTTCTGTAAACAACACTGTGGGCATTCCGCTTCTACGGATATCGCTGCTGCAGTTTTACTTACTAAAATGGTGTTAAATAAAAATTAAAACTATATAAAACTTTATATAAATATAAACATTCATTGCTTATCCTTATTAATAGATTTTGGTAAATTGTAACTTGAGAATCTTCCACCTTTCTGATTGTTTTAGTGCAAAAACAATCAGAGGAAAAACAGTAATTCAGACTTTGCTTCTTCTGGCGTTCACTCACACACAACACTACACTGCCTGTCAACATTACAACAGGTCAAGTGTTGCTGGGCTCTATCACAGCAGCTGGATCCGATTCTGTCACGTGGACAGAAAACTGACCATGTAAAAATGGTAAGCACAACAAACAGCGGCTGCTGCCTCAACTGTGAACTGTGAACAAGAACAAACAATGCTCAGTTATTTGCCACACCAGTTAACAGTTCTGCTTCACAGTCTCATATGAGGATCAAAGGATACTTTGTAAGAATAATTCTACACTGTATAAGAAAGCTAGGAACAGTTTTCAATTTAGCCAAGATTTTCCTTTTTTTTTTAAATATTTATTTATTTATACAATATTCTGTCTGTGTGTATGCCTGAAGGCCAGAAGAGGGCACCAGACCTCATTACAGATGGTTGTGAGCCACCATGTGGTTGCTGGGAATTGAACTCGGGACCTTTGGAAGAGCAGGCAATGCTCTTAACCACTGAGCCATCTCTCCAGCCCCCTAGCCAAGATTTTCTTAAAGCACATTATTTCTTAAATAATATTTTATTAATATCCTTAAATACAAAAATATGTAAGGAACCTCAGGCTCTATGTATTTTATATGATTTTAAGACACGATGCTGGCAAATCTATTTTTTAAAATTATAGGAATTATTTTCCTTTCTCTTATTCTGCCCTTTCTCCCCTGTGTTACTAAGAGGAACAGGATGGAAATCCTCCATTAGCAGAAATAAGTGACCAGGATGGGATGCATGGCTCTGAAGGGACATCCTTTCTGCAGGTACCTCCGTGAGTGGGGCGGCAGGGTTCAGGACAACCTGTATAGTGACCTCCAGAGGGGAGGTCAGCTGAAACCATTAAAACTAGATAAATCATTTCCTCTGGGCTTCATACTTTATTCCAGATTCAAAAATAAATTAGAAATTTGAAATATGTGTGATACAGAAAAGAGTAGCCACAATTACCTTGTTCAGCAAATTGGAAAACCACATGAATACTACAGCAGTCCCTAAGACTGTGGTTCTCAACCTTCCTAATGCTGTAACCCTTTAATACAGTTCCTCATGTTATGGTTACCCCCAATCACAAAATTATTTTGTTGCTACTTCCTAACTGTAATTTTGATAGTTATGATTTGATATGCAGGATATATATGGGACCCTTCTGAAAGGGTCATCTGACCCCCAAAGGGGTTGTGACCCATGGGTTGAGAGCTGCCCTAGGGTGAGGAGTCATTCCCCAGCCCGCAGGACTACATTTGTCATGGTTAGGTCTTGAGCAACTAGCTTTAAAAATCTATGCTATGGCTATCAATAGCAATACAAAATAGTTTGAGCCTCGCAGTTTCTAAAACTGAAAGGTGTGACAGAAACATATGAAACCAATACCATGTGAAAAACATCCCCTTACATCTTAAAGAGAGAATGAAAACTACTCAAGTAAGTCTGAAGGAAATTTTCTGGAAGGTGGCAGATACTGTGATTTTAAGACATGAATGTTTGGAGTACGAAGGACCAACATCATCAGCATACTTACCCCATTGGTTTAGTGGTAGTGCTACCATAGCTGGCGGGAGTTGAGGCCATCTTGGCAAAAGCCCTATGAAACAAGGAGGTTTATACTTACAAGTGGACAGAGTTATCATTCGGCATCTTGGCATTAAAAGATTTACTGGCTAACTTCTAAGATGTGCAGATTTTTTTAAAAATTATTATTTTTTAACTAGTTATATTACAGCCATCATTCAAACAGTGAGATTCCCTAAAACATGCCAGTGCAGGGCTGGGTGCAGCTCAGCAGCAGAACACCACAGCAGGTACCAGGCCCAGGGTCCCAGCAGCAGCACTGCAGGAGCAAGCAGGAGCCAGAAGCGAAGCCTCTTCCTATGTGAGCATTACCAAGAGACCCAGGCAGCTAAGCTCAGCTCACTGCTGGGCAGCACACACCCCTGCTCCCTGCAGCCCCCTGCTCAGGCTGTCCTTTGGGGAGTTCAGGAGAAGAAATGCCACATTTCCTCTAGGGACTCAGCTCACAGCCCACCCCATCAGTCACTACAGAGATGTGCTCCCTCCAGTTACATTACAAACCACGTGTTTTACATGTAACTGCACATGGTTATACATTTTCAAGTTTTTCTAAAAAGTTTAGAATCTCTCTTAAGTATGATTGGGGAAACTAAAAACTGGAGGAAAAGAGAGCACTTAGGTGTACTTTAAAAATACATCTTCCTCCTGGGCAGTGGTGGCGCACGCCTTTAATCCCAGCACTTGGGAGGCAGAGGCAGGCGGATCTCTGTGAGTTCGAGACCAGCCTGGTCTACAAGAGCTAGTTCCAGGACAGGCTCCAAAACCACAGAGAAACCCTGTCTCGAAAAACCAAAAAAAAAAAAAAAACAAAAAAAAAAAAACAAAAACAAAAACAAAAAAACTTCCTCCAAGGATGTTTTCACATTTCTCTACACAATTTGCAAATACCGGATGTTCCCCGAAGACTCTCGGCACTGCGAGGAAAGCAGCTGCAAGATGCTGATGAATGTTCTTCCCATTACAGATGTGCACAAAATGCAACACAGATGAGTAACACGAGAGGCAGCATCCTTTTGCAATCCTGGTCCATTATATTCTATTAGCACACTACACACTTTATATCAACATATCTTTTTCATGGCTCTTAGCTACTTCATATGCTCTGCACAAGGGGGTGGGCAGAGCCCAAAGGATGTTTTAAGAGTGAAAAAAAGAAGGAATCACAAACAATGTAGTAGCCAAAATGCTAAAAATGTTCGCCTTCTGTCCTAACAAAGTCTAGCAGTAACAAGACAGAAATCCAAAGTAAATGCAAAGCTTTCAGTTTTGTTCACGAATGGGGCCATAAACAAAGCTATAAATAGAAAAAGTCAGGGGGCTAAGCAAAGGCAGCCATTCGCTAAGGTCTTATCACTCAGTTTGACTGTCTGAATCATTGAGTATCATTAACATCATTCTTTCATTTGAGTATTAACTGTTCCTTTAACACATGTAAATTCAATGACAGTGCAGGTCCTCCTATCAAGCTCCCAATTAAGAAACAGCATCCTTTGGCATTCATGAGGTTTGGTTCCAGGATCCTCAAAATGGTTCCAATCATTACGTCTTCTATCATGATTGTCAGTTATCCAGTTGGATTCTATCTTATAAAAATGCTACAATTGTAGGAAGATTGGACAGTCCAGGTCTTGCTATGTAAATACTCCAAGTTGCTACTGACCTTGTGATGAATCACCCCCTTGGCCTCTCAGTGCTTCACAATCCACGTGAACCATGCCAGCCTAAAATACCGTCATTATTTACCCAGTTCACTGCTGGACACTTAGGTTGGTTTTCACCGCTAAAATTTTATAGTTCCAATAACTTCTTTGGATAAATCCTTAAAAGTGGTAGAGGGTCAAAACCTTTTACAGCATTCTGGAAAATCATCAAATTTATATTCCTACTAGCAGATTATAAATGCACCAATTAATTTTTCCGTTTCCTTGGCACAATGTTTTTTAAATTTGGTATTGTCCTGGTTGCTAGTTAGTAGTTTTGAGACATTGGATCAAAAAGATTTTAGTCTCTGACTTTCTTAACACATCAATCAGTAAGAAAAGTATAGAGCTTGTCCCAGGATAAAGGGTGTCCCTATTTTATGTGGCTGTAAGCTGTGCATATGGCGGGCCAGACAAGGAAATGCTATGCACTAGACATAAGAAGTCACCATGACACTGTCCAGCCTTATTACCAGCACTCCTACTTTCTTGGGAACAAAATTTGAATTATGACCTTAAGTAACAGGAAAGGAAAAGGAGCTACAACTTACTTCCACTGTTTGATATACTGTAAAGGGCTAAGGTTGCATCCTGCATCTGTTAAAGCCTTCTTATACTGCTCCAAATCAGCCTGCAACAAGAAAAGAACTCTGATAAACACTACACTTCCAAAGAAAACT